TGTGATCATTCATTATTTTCTTTATCGACAAGGATCTACATGTTGTTATTTTCTTGTTATGTGGATGATTTTGATTAAACAGGGAATGAATTCCAAAATTTATCTCTCGGTTGTACAAGCTTGGGAGCAGATTTTCGTTAAAGACCCCCAAAGCCCATTGTCGTTATTCCTTGGTGTAGAATGTTATAAAACATCGAATGGCTTATTTATCTCCCAGCATCATTACAATTCCGCACTCTTTTAGAAAGAGGGACTATGGATGGTGCTACCAGGTCGTGTCTACTCCAAATTGTCCCGCAGATAGCATTTGAAGAAATCGAATTGGTTTCTTCTATAGTGGGATCCTACTGCCTTTCCGAAAAGTTGATTGGCGTTGCAATACCTTTAGTTCTCACACGAACGGATATTGCATTTAACTGTCAATAAGCTGTCACAGTTCATGCAACATCGCAAACTCCACTCACTGGCTAGCTCTGAAACGATTGCTTCGATACCCTTAAGTCCACCACATTGATTTTTGGTATTCCATTATAACTCTTAGTTCTAAGCTAGTTTTTCATGCTTTTTCGGATGTAGATTGGGTAGGAGATCCTTCAGATAGATTTCAACTACGTGATTTATTTTATATTTTGGGAAAGTCCGATAAGTTGGAGTTCTTAAAAAGCAACATACAGTTGCTAGGTCTAGTACAGAAGCGATAATATAGGGCCGTGTTGGCTTCAACCGGCAGCTGAAGTTCCAATGGGGTTAAGTCGGTTGCTAAATAACTTGGTTATACGGTACCATCACCAGTCATCTGATTGTGATACATATCCACATTAATTTCTGTGTTCACATTTTTTTAATTGTTCCGCTGCTTAATTTTCTCTTTATTGGTTGTGAGGGCCAAACATTCCTGCACCTCAGGTAACATTTTATCCTTGCTCTATACTAAAAACAATATTTTTTTTTTGGTGTTTTTGACCATTTTATATGCAAAATATTCACTTAGTATAGGTTAAGTATAAATATTTAGAACAATAATTTTTCACATTTTTTAATCTTCTAATAAGTGTTTAATTTATCTAATTTTAAAAGTTTGAATATTTCGTTAGAATAATTTTGCAAGTTGATAATATTTAAGTGAATACAATTTTATAAATTAAAGTGTTTAATAGGTCAATGTGGAAATTAAATGGTGCCCAATAGATTTTTTTATATGACGTTGAATTTATGCAACTGTGCCATAATGACAATCATAATGATGAGAACAGAAAACCAAAAAATTATTTTTTTTCCTAAACCGAAAGTATATATAGAAAACATATCAAATCGAAGAAGTTTAGTTTTTTGATCAATTCGATTTATTTTTTTACAATCAAACCGAATCCCAAATAATCCGAAATTCCAAATAATCAAACAAAAAAAATGAACTAAACTGGTCCAGCTTCCTTATGCGTTTTGTGATTTGACAAGTGGGATAAACTTCAGATAGAAAAGTATCATTAAATAAAAGTCCTAATAGTTTGATAATAATCATTAAATAACCAAAAAGTTGGAAGTTGATGCTAGGCTTATAATTTTATTAATCAGATCTTAGTTTAATTGGTCTTTTTATTAGCATAAAGAATGAGAGGTCTCGAGTTTCGATTATCTATCCATAAAATTTTTTATACCAATTTTGTAAGTCAACGAGAAAATTCACCCTGCTGTATATCTTCAATATCATTTTGGTCATGTTGTATAATTCATCTATTATTTCAAGTTAGATCTGCTTTCGAGTGTTACATTCACATATAAATGTTTATTATGAGAGGGGTTTTTTTTTTTTTTGAGGATAATGTTGAGTTATGAGGGTAATTTTAAGTTTTATTTTAATTTTTTCATTGTGTGTATATATTAGTTCTTCCAAGTTTGAAGAAACCAAACAAGATTGATGAATATATAAATAACTTTTTTTAATTGGAGTGTTTTGATTTTTGTTAGGTTGAAGTACTTAAAAACTATAATTGTTTTAAAATACTGCAAATAGATTAATTTATCTTTGGATGTAGGAATCAATAGTACAATAAAAAAATTATCTCTCTGTCCTGGCATTCAAAAAAAATTAAAATGAATACTATTCTATAACAAGATCGCTTTTTTTTTGGATAGGGAACAAAACAGATATAAGAAACGTCTTTCATGCAAGTTTTATGACAAATGATTGTTCTTTATTTTTATTAGAAGATTCAAAGTTTTTTTTTAAAAAAAAAAGAAAAAAATTTAAAAGGTGAAAATAGGGAAATCGTGAGATTCCCCGTTACTAAGATTGAAAATTATAAAATAAAATAAATTTTTTTTGGTAAAAACAAATAAATAGTTTTTAAAAATATATAAATGTATCCCACAACATGCGTACCGATCGGTGAGAATATAAATTTTAAAAACATAAAACATAAAATCACACTAAATATATCGTTTATTGAAATTAAAAAAACATATAAAACATATAAAAAAGGTGCGACAAGGGGGCAAGGTGGAATAATCTTACAACAAGAAATCCATTTTCTTGGATAGTACCTCTAGATGGTGCCTTACATAAAAAGCTTACCAAAATTCTATCTTTACGTGAGGTTTGCACTTAACGAGTCTTGTAGTTGATTATTAATCGAAGTTTAAGTATGAATATATATATTTTTTGAATTATTTCGGATCATTGATCAAATTAATAAGCAATTTAGGTATTGTCTACTTAGTTTTTCCTCAATATGAACAGTAAAATTGTTTTAAGTTTGAGTTTCTCTGAATAACAAAGAGTATTCGCTAATTTTGATTAGTTAAAAGGATGGTTATATAAATTAAGAGATTTTTCAAAAACAGTCTTTTTTTAATAATTATTTATATTATTAGTAATTTTTAAGAAATTATTAATTTAAGATGTTGAATAGCATCCCAAAGAATTAATGTAAATTAAGAATTTTCCAAAAACCATATATTATTTTAACTAATCTTAACTTTTTTTTTTTTATTCATAAGAGCCCTAATGGAGTTATAAATAACACTGTAGACTACACAACAGATAATAACCATTTTTTTTAAACTCACAAATTGGTAAAAAACTAATTGTTTTGTTGACAGGACTCGAACTCAAGACGCTTAATATTTTTTAACATAAGTGAGAAGATGAAATAAATTCAACGTCACTGCACTGAAATTTATTAATTTAACTTATTATCTAAGTTAGAATTGTACAAAATTATTTAATCTAAGATGAAATAAATTTTCAACGTTACAAAAAATTAATTATTAAATTTCTTACAGCAGATTCTTTGGCAATCTATCCAAACTTGACGCAGATTTATTTTTCTCAAATTGCTCGCATGCACATGCATTTGTCTATAAATAGTATGGTCCTGCATTTAGGATGGATGCATAGATAAGCAACCATTCTTAGGCACAGCAGTTGTTCACTTTTCCTCGAGAGTAAAATATGGCTATGCCCTCCTGCCAATGGCCAATCCCTAGCCCAAACACCTTCACCAAAAACTGATTGAGCCAAAAATTATCCGTCGCAAGCGGTAAACTTTTTCCCATCTTCTGTGGGGCTGTAGTTTTGACCTCATTTCTTTGCGCTAGATTCGGTAAGTTTCATTATTTATTTATTTTATGAAAATAAAATATATATTGAAAATATAACATTTAATTTAAAATATTAAGCGCAGTGAAATAATTTTTTAAAAGGTTTTCCTTTCTAAACTTTTTTTTTTAAAAAATAAATTTCTAAAAGTTAATAATATATAAATGAATTCAAATATATTTTTCACCTTATATTGGAACATATACTAATCTTAACATAACCCAACAAAGAGAATGGATAAATTTCCATTCGGCGAAGGAGGTTACTTTTATTTCCAATATATTGTCCCGGTATTTTTTTATAGTGGTTTATTCAAATACTCATCTGTATGGTAATAGACTTTTTTTTCTTTAAAAAAAAAAAAAATTTTTTAAAAAAATAATGTTGTTTGATTTGCAATGGATAATGACTTCTAAATATTGTAACAGAAATTTTTGAAGAGTAACACAAAGAAGTGGAATTACTTAAAGAAAAGGTAAAGGATAATGTTAATGGAATCTACAAAAGACTTGGCAGAGAATATTGAACTCATCAATTTGCTATGCTACCTTGGTTTTTTCTTATCACTTCGAAGACGCAGATTGAAAAGCAATTACTTCATATTTTCAATTCTATTCCTAATCTTTTTGAATGACAATGACTATGACCTTCCACACGTCGGGGCCATTTTATTTCGTTGTTCTTAGGCAACATGGACAATAAAATGTCCTGTGGTAAGAGTCCTTCGTTCTTGAAAATTTATTGGATTTTAGAGATTCTATTTTCCTTGTTAATGTATAAAGATAGAAAAATATTAATTTTGAATAATTTATATTTAATGAAACTAGATGTATTTAACAAGTTCAAAGACAACAATGGAGAGTTCAAGAAAACATCATCGAACGATTTAAAAGGTCTCCTTAGCTTATATGAAGCTAGTTTCTTTGAGCGTGCATGGAGAAAGATGTTTTAGACGAGAGCCTTGCTTTTTGCTATGGCAACACTTTAGAAATCTTAGCCTGCCCAGTCCAAGCCCAAATCTGCCAAAACATATAAGGAATATTCTAACATGGCCCTTCCAGAGAAGCAATGAAAGATTGCAGGACTTATCTATTTATATCCGTTTTTATGAAAAGAATCCTTTACGAATTCTCCAATGAAAGCTCTTCTCAGATTTGCAAAGTTGGACTATAATAGACTACATTGTTGTATAGGAACAAGAGCTGGCCTGCTGTCGAGGTAATTAAGATTGACATTTGGTTATTACAGGGAAATTAAGTTTCAAACCTCTGATTAGTTTCCATTGGAAGTTGCTATTATATGTGTGATCAGGTGGTGGAAAGACCTAAATCTGAATGCTGATGGAAACGCTTCATTATACAAGAGACGGAATAGTGGAAGCCTATGTATGGACAAAGGGATGCATTTTTGAGCCTCAGTATGCTCTTGCTCGACATCTAATTACTAAACATGTACAATTGGAAGCAGTTGTAGATGATACATATGATGCATATGGTACACTTGATGAACTTAAATCTTTTACAGCTGCACTTGAAAGGTTAGAGTTTGTTGTCTATTATTTAATGTTAAATTATCTCTATATACTGTCTAAATCGCATATAAAGAGAAAGGTGAACCAACTAAATTTTGTGTTAAAGATAAACCCAACTGATTATTATAAACTCAAATTATAAAAATTTTTTATTTGAATTTAATGAATTGCTCTTAGGGCATAGATTTTTTAATATGGTATTAGAGCTAAATACTTGAACACGTATTGCATGAGGGAGTGTTTAATATGGTATTAGAGCTAGATACTTGAACACGTATTGCATGAGGGAGTGGGTCTTACCTTAATAGACCTATACTGGGTCATCTCTTATGCTTGTCAAGTGGCCTAATTGCCACTCGAGAAGGAATGCAGAAGTATATGAGGTTAATCTAAATTGCATATAATGAGGAAGGTAACTAATCAAAATGACTTGGCCATTTTGCGTTAGAACAAGTCTAACTCTTTATAATCCCTAATTAAATGAAAGTTCTTGATTCGAGATTTGCAGTATTAATTTATATAACTTATTATTCAGGTTTAGTATGGATGCTACTGATGAGCTACCGGAATACATGAAAGTTCTTTATAAGGCTATCTTCAATCACTTTAAAGAAACAGAGAATAATGGCAATGAAGGAAGCTCTTACAAAACCTCTTTTGCTAGGGAGATGGTGAGATCTGTAATTTACCTTAGGCTTTCTATCTTTTTTTAATGCTCTAATCTCATCTCTCATTAATATGTTTGTTAATTTTTTGGTGTATAATTAGTTGAAGGAACTGACAAGAGGTTACCTAACCGAGGCACCCGAGCAAAAAATGTTCTTTGATGGTTGTATCCCAAACATTTGATGAGTAACTTGGAACAATGATTAATAATAAGCACTGTTGACTTCTTTGCTTCAGCATTTTTCCCTTGGATAAGGATCGCAGGATAAGAAAAGTCCGTGTGGCTGCGAGACAAATTCAAAAATTTGTTCAAGCTCCCAAGATCTTAGGTTGTACCTTATAAGAAGATGATCTTGGAGGCCATGGCAGGTATCATATTATCCAATCAATATAGCTTTCTCTCTCTAACATCTATGCGTCATTATTAATACATCAGTTTGTCCCCAAATATAAGTCTTTCCTTAGTGATTATTTTTATCCATAATAAATAATGTTTTTTTCCAAGTTGTTACTCTATTTACATTAGATTATCAGATAATTACCTTTACAAGTAACTCTTGGTTTTGAAGACTGATGGATAATTTGGTCAAAATTAACTATTTTTGTTATAATTAGGAAAATTTAATTGCCTTTCTTACTTCCTTGTGGCAAAAATCTTAAACTAATAGTTTGGAATATGATATTATTAATCCCTATATCAGCCGTGTTTTTGGGCGGATTAATGTATAATTCATTTGACCCTTTTATTTTAACTTTTAATGGCATCCCTAACGTTGTAAATTACCACTGGTACACTTTTATTTATATCTTATTATTGGCAACTTTCACTTATGCTACATTCTTCATATTTTTAGTTTTGATGCAAAATATTTATTATGTTGTAGTTAGCAATAATTATTGCAACAAATAAGTTTCACATTTTTAACTATTTTAAATATATTATTGATATAATTTTTGCATAGTTGAATTATTCAACAAAATAAATTTGTAACTTGAAAGTATTTAATATGTGTAATTTATAAATTGAAGTGTTGAGTGGATTAAAGTAAAAAATTGAGGGTGTTAAAAAAGAATTAAAAATAATAAGTTTAGAGGTCGAATTTATATAATTTTGGCTTAAATTATTTACTCAACGTATAAGACTTGGGGCAATTCTCTTATACTTGAATTAGATATATAGAGGGGATAAGAATTAGGACCCAATCCTTTTAATTAGCCAATGAACTATAAAAATCTGAAAATAATGTACATAATGGTATCTATAACATACGATATTAGACCCTTAATTAAATAATTAACTACAATATAATTTTTTTGGTAATTTTTTCGATTTTTCTTTCAGTATATAATAATATCTCCTTTTAAAATCCTCGCATAACCATTACGTAATGTATAATAAAATATTTTATGTCTTACAGGAAGAGCAAGAAAGAGGAGATTGTCCTTCAGTCGTAGAGTGTTATATGAATGAATATGGTACCACCAAAGAAGAGGCGGTTAAACATATTGAAAAACTGTGTATAAATGCATGGAAGGACATAAACGAGGAAATGTTGAAGCCAAGTCGTGTCTCAAAGATTGTGCTCAAATATTTTCTCAATTTTGCACGCATGTCAGAATTTCTATACAAATTCAAGACTGATCCCTTTACTAACCCTTCACTTTTAAAAGATCATGTCTTAGCATTGCTCATTGACCCTCTGCCAGTCTAATTGCTAGAAACTAATGAGATGCCTCTTTCTTCAAGTTTGGTGTTGAAAGTTTGTCTCTACAAGTTCAATAAATGTTGTATGATGTCAGAATAAATTTGAAGTGCGTGTTTTTATGCTTATGCAAGCCACTGTAATAAATACAGATTCAATGTATTAGAATATTTTGAACTTCATAATTTCTCAATTTCATTCTAAGTTGATATTTCTATCAATTTTATCCTGATTTCAACTTTTTATAGCAACAACATTTTCAATTGCAATTATTAATGATGCAATTGCAAATAAAAAATATTTCTATTATTTTTTAAAAAAATTAATAATAAAAATAAAAGTTTAGATATCCTTTTAAATATAAAATTATATTCACATTTAATGGACACATTTATTAGATTTAGAAATATGATACTTCCTTCCTCCCAAAACAATTGTCCTATTGACTTTTATACAAAGTTTAAGAAACCAAATAATTATAGTGCCACATCATACAAAATATCCTTTGTTGGCTCAAGATTCAATTTACCCTAGGATTTTAATGATTAAACTAACCAAATAAATTTAATATTTTTGTATGTGCTAAAGTTATTTTATTTAGAATTTTAATGTTGAAGTTATTGAAGAAATCAAGCTCCAAAAATTTCATATTTTTAATTGAAGATCATGAAAATTATTGAAGATTTTTAGTGGTTAGTACTTTATTAAGTCTTAGGAAATATTGTAGGATAGAGAGAAAATTTCTTTACAAGCACAAAATATTTTTATCTCTCTTAAAATTATTTTCGAAATATTCTCAATAAATGCTTGAAAAGAAAAGGCCCAAATTATATGTCTTTTATCTATACCTACCTAAATAGAAGGGTTTTGGGTAATCATTGAATGAGCTTCCACAAGAGTTGCTTGTGCATTGACATTGATTTTAAAATATCAGAAATAGTTATTGCTTATTAAAACTAAACTTCAATGTCTTATATAACTGGATTTTCATTCCTCTTATAAAAACGTTTTTCTTCCTTCAAAAATTGAATGGGCAAGAGTAAGAGTCCATTGTTCAAAGTTTCATATCTCAAAGCTCTCTCTTCAATCCCCTTTAATTCTTTTCATCTATTTGCTTCAAGAGATATTTTTCAAGAGAAAAGAAATATGGTAACAACTCTTTCTGAAGAATAGTTCTGAACTTTTTGTCTATTTTAAAATTTTATTTTCTGTTATTCCTGTGCTTATAATTACATTTCTCTCTGTCTATATAGATTATTGTAATCTGTTATAGGCTAGAGGCTTTTAAATGAAAAACATTTGTATAATAGCTTAGGTGAAAAGCTATATTGTAAAAGGTAATCAAGCGACCTTCTCCTTGTGTCTATATTGTAAATAAGGTAATCAAGCCGACCGTTTGCCTCTCTTGTGTAAGATTCTAATATGTCTTGAATCTGAGTTTTCTATTTCTCTGGCAATCAGCATAAAGGGTAAAGAGGTTGAACTGGAAATCTTCATAAAATCTAGTGGGACCAAAAGTTCGATATAAGGTGTTGATGCTATTTTTGTAAAGTGTGGTTTTGTTCCTACCCTTGAAAAGAGATATATATAGTGGAGGAATCTGAAGATGAAGTCTTGGGGAGTGGATGTAGGCGAGGTTTATGTGTGAACCACTAATAAATCTCTGTGTTCTTATCTTCTTTTATTGTTTCTAAAGTGTTGCTTGATTATATTCTGTTTACACTTATGTTAATCATTTTCAGAAATGCAAAGTTATTAAATGATTTGCTGTTTCTAAACCTGAAATAAACTTTATCTCTGTGGAACATTAGAACTCTCTGTGGAACATTAGAACTCTGGATTTCTGTACTATGATTTTATCAAGTTCTAATCTGTCCTTTTTTATATTTAGTAGAAATCACAATCTGAGTTACAATCAGTCTTCTGATCTTGCATAAGTTTTGTGAAGTAGTTCTAAATATAATAACTGTTCTTCACGTTCTTTCTAATCATGCAACAGTTTTGTAAAAAAGTTCTAAATTTGATAACCGACTCTCACAAACACTTTCTAATTTCATTGCGACAGAATTCTGATCTTGAGTTTTGAAAGTCAAATTTTTTAGAAAATCCAATTCACCCCTTACTGGGTTGTGCCATACATAAACGGGGCTCATAACCTTACTTTTCGAAAATTGTCCTTCTTTAAAAAAAATTGGTTATTTCTAGAATTGAAAACAAGTTATAATAAAAATGAAAATATGGACAAATATTTTGAGATGGAGGGAGCATGAAATTGAACATTGCAGGCAAAATTGAAAAGAAAAAAAGGTTGATTTGCCAAAAAATAGACCGAATTGCAAAATCCATGACTAAATTGCACTTTGACCAAAATCAGGGGTGGCTGCGGTGGTCGCAAGTCCTCTTGGCGGCTGCTGCAGGATTTGGCCGACTCTGGACTACTTTTTAAGCTAATTTTGTGAATCTCAGCCTTATTCCATTAATTTTTTTATGATTTTTCAGCTTCTACTCTTCCAATTTCTCTCAAGTTCCCGTCTTTCTTCTTGTCTTCTTTGATCCAATTGCTATGGAGCTATACTTTAGCCATTCTATGCATTTATGTACCAAGAATTTGGAAAAGATGGAGAAGATCAATATAGGAAAGTTCGGTATTGTTCTTGCTTGACTTTGCGCAAAGTAAAAACTGATATGGACTTTTTATTGCCTGTATCAAATTTTGGGACCCAGAATCTCATGTTTTCAGGTCTGGAACTAGAATGGAGGAGTTGTGCCCTACTTTTAAATAATTCAGTTCTATCTTATATAGCGGGATTGAGACTCCCTTGGTTAAACCAAAAATCAAACCTAGCTATTTTTCTAATTTTCAACACATGTTTGGCTTGACTAAGGAGTAAGCTTATAACATGGTAGTGGAGAACCAAGTGAATTTGACTGGTCTGATTGTCGAAATTCATGATTCTCACGACTTCAAGGACAAGGATAGACAAAACTATCAAAGAGCTTCGACCTTTTGTTTGATTGCTACATGAATGACTATGGTACCACCAAAGAAGAGGCTGTTAAACATATTACAAAGTGATTTATAAATGCATAGAAGGATATGAACAAGGAAATGTTGAAGCCAAGTCATGTCTCAAAGATTGTGCTCAAGTATTTTCTCAATTTTGGATGCCTGGCTGATTTTCTATGCAAATTCTGGATTGATCCCTTCACTCATCCTTCACTTTTGAAAGATCGGGTCTGAGCATTGCTCATCGATTTTCTAATTGCTTGATGCTTAGCAATTAAGTCAAATGCCTATTTTTCAAGTTTTAATAAATATAGTTTGGTATTGAAAGTTTGTCTCTAGAAGTTCAATAAACGTTGTTTGATGTTGGAATCAGTTTAAAGTGTGTTTTTATGCTTACGCAAGCCACTGTAATAAATATTGGTTCGATG